AACTTCTCCAATATAATCATGTACTGCGTTATGACATTTTGTGAAAGATCTGTACGCGATGAACAAAAAATAAATATCATTTTCGGATTCAGCGTACAGGAATTACTGTAGAACATGTAAAAATTTCAGAACAATAAAACTACAGCAGGCCTGTATAATCAGACTAAACTCACACATAATTAATTAATTAATTCTGATATTAATTACTAGATGAATTTTCAAACAACAGCAAACTATACCATGGTAACTTAGAGAGTGTAGTTTAATAATTTAGAATGTATAATTATTTTACCATTCTAATCTTATTTAGGTGAGTAAATAACAGATTGTTATTACTGTCGTGTTCGTCTGGCTACTTCATGACGTAATTGAAGGCAGGGTCAAATCTACGGAGTTTCATGAATATTGACTGAAAATTTCTATTTACATGCCTAACGTTTTTGTCATCAATCATCCTCTTAAAAAAATAATATTTCTAATGTATTTACCTTAAAAGTGTGTTAAACCTACAGTGTGAATACCAAATCTAATCATTTATCAAGCTACCAGAAATATTTGTTAAATATTCTGACAACAAATTTCCTTGTATTTCTATGTTTTTACGAGTGACTGATTATTGAAACATTTATCATTCATGGAGTTCAGTTCAATAAATGTCACGTGTTTAAAACATCTAATCACAGAAGCAGACCTTCTGTTACTGTAACAAAAAATCGTTCATCACCGTGTCAGACCATTATTTATCAAAGTTGTTATCAAAGGCCTCAAAATGTTTATGCTTTTGACTTTAAAAAGTAAAAATATCAATTAAGAAACTACGGAAGCGTTAATAAGGTAGACTTCAGGTGTTCGAGCATTCTTATTTTTCTGAACGATGAGTATCCTCTGATCCTGCGATCACGGACACTGGTGGTGTGCGCGTTATCTCTCGCTATCTAGACGTACTTAAGACTTCATCTATTGATGAATGCACTCTCATCTTACACGCCCAAAATGTCTTAGTCTCTTGCTGCATTCCTTGAGGTATAGCAGTCGTTTCTCGTGTTAGAATTGGATTAGTTTAAAATGTAGATAGTAATCACGTCATTTCTTTGCCAGGCTTCTTGTTTGTACATACACTACAAAAAGGCTTAGCAAGGCTAGTAAGAACGCATAGTCACTGCAATCACTTTATTCAAAGACCAAGGGAACGTCCCCCTGTTGCTTTCAGTACCTAGTTAGGCTTACGCCTGTACAATAGCCGACGCGTAAGATGCAAAGAAACAGTGGCGAGTCTAGTGTACATTGTTTCTCTCAACTATGTGTTATGATAGCTATGGTTTTAATGCAATCGCCCTTGTTAGACGAATCGTTTTATTAGTCAACCTGGTACTTCAGTCTATTAACTGAAGAAATCCGCTTCAACTTGTAATTCAGTCTATTAACTGAGGAGGTTTGTTTCAACTGGTACTTCAACTTATTAACTGAAGAGATTAGCTTCAACTCGGTCTATTACCTGAGGAGATTCGTTTCAACTTACTGGCTACAGCTACCATGAAATTCAGAAGTCTTGTATGATATTACGACCCTATCAAAATCGAATACTTTGTGTATTGGTTTAAAACAGTACTTTGAGCTGATGAAACAGTTCACAGTTTTTTAAAGATATTTAAGAACTTTTCGTGTGTTAATTAAATCACAAAGGTAGTGGGTGCTGTTAACAATTTGGATGTTAAACAGAGATTATGATGACACCAAAAAGTCACTCAACAGACGGTTGTACAACAGTATGGAAAGAAGTGATTATGAGGGTGAGTTTCAATATACGATCCCTGATTAATTCTGTTGAAGTTTAGAGTTGTGTGGTTAAAGATATACTGAACACCAACTAATAACTTAGATATGTAAAACTTGTTTCTCATATCTTATTAACTTAGAGTTTAAATTCTTAGAAATGTTCGTTTTTTATTATTTTTCGGTTACTGCTGCTTTTAGCCATTTGTTATTTTGTGGTTTCTGATTTGCCTCTTCTAAATAGGCATTTATTCAAATTGTTATTTAGGGTATATAGCAGTTGTGTTTTTTCCATCTTTTTAATAATTTTATTATAATTAATTACCAGTTTCCACGCGCTTCGCCTTTAAATAGTATTCTCCTTTGATCTTAAACTACGATAACCTTTCCTTAAAACATCTTTAAATAGCCTTCTAGTGTTTCAGTTCAAGCGATTATGTGTTTTCAAGAATGTTTTCAGACAGTTTATTTGGTGAAATGTTATAGAAACACACAAAGACTTTCTGGTTTCGCATTCATTAATTACTGTATTAAGTTTCGCGTATTTGATACTCACTCTACGCTAATTATTTAGTGTTGTTGTCACACTTTTCTTCAAACAATCTTACTACTTTAGGATTAATCACTTAGGGACAGAAAACCATCATTATAGAATTACCAAAAATGATTTTTTTTTAAATTTGATTTAATATGCTTTTCAAATGTCTGCTGTTATATGGGTACTGTGGTATTGAAATATTTAAAATATGTATTTTAACACTTTCAATTCAACTTTACAGATGTATTTAGTAAGGTCATTTTTTTCATTTAATGGGGTTTTGTGGGTATAAACTATTTGGAAGTGTGGCCGTCGACTTATTTCTTCTTAAGAAGAAGTTCCAAAACTATATGTTGTTTCAATACAATGGTGCTAAACTATCAAAAAGTATCCACAGGTTTCATTTTCCAGAGGTAGTTTCAAAAACACGTTCTATTTATTTCGAGACAATGGTTCTGAGCTATTTAGAAAAGTGTCCTGCTGAGCTATTTCGAATAATGTTCTACTAAGCTATTTGATCTGTTGATCTGTTTGGAAGAGTGTACTGTTGAACTATTTGGAAGTGTGCCCTACTGAGCTACTTGGAAGAGTGCCCTACTGAGTTACTTGGAAGAGTGCCCTACTGAGCTATTTGGAAGGGTGCCCTACTAAGCTATTTGGAAGAGTGTCCTATTAAGCTATTTAGAAAAGTTTTCTGTTGATCTGTTTGGAAGAACGTTCTGCTGAGATATTTTGAAGAGTGTCCTGCTGAGCTATTTTGAAGAGTGTCCTGCTGAGATATTTCGAAGAATTTCCTGCAGAGCTATTTGGAAGAGTGTCCTGCTAAGCTATTTGAAAGGGTGTCCTGCTGATATATTTGAAAGAGTGCCATACGGAGCTATTTGGAAAAGTATCCTATCAAGCTAATTGGAAAATTGTCCTTATGAGCTATCTAGAAGAGTGTTTTTAATACATTATGCTCCCCCGGCACAATTGGTAAAAATTATTAGTTGCACTCTTGTTATTTTTAATAACTTCACATAGCCAGTAGATTTATAAATTTAACCAAAACATTCTTTCATGAAATGAAAATTGCATTTTCAATTCTCTTTCTGTATGACTATAATTAATAATACAAATATAGAATATTAACCAATAAATTGAAATATATTTACTACAACAAAAGTATGATGAAAGCTAGGCCTTTA